TATACTGCTTGGGGAGCCATTGCCCCAGGATAAAAGCTATCACGAAAAGAGCAGACCACATACAAAATAACAAGAATCAGATTGACACCAGCAATATTGGACATATAAAAAAATGGAGGCATGTTTTCACAGAATTGAAGGAAACAGAATTTGGAACCTAATACATGTATTTGATATTCAGCCTGTCACTCAAATATTAGGGTCAAATAAAAAAACTCTCAAGCATACAAGATTTGCTACAGAAAGATGTGCATTGTAAACAGTTTTGGTTTAAGTTTTATGGAAGGGAAAAATCCAGGAGGTTTTACAAGAGATTTGTAGGGTGAGGGCAATCAAATATCTTGATAAATTCCTATTGCTTAAAAAAACAAAAAGCAAGCTAAGGACAAAGAAAAAGAGAAATTACATCTATGACAATGCAGAATTAAAAGCTTAAGTAGGGGAAGAAGCAGGGAAACCTAAATTTGTATCTTATTAGGAAAAATTAGGGAGATATCAATGTATCGTTATAAATACATATAAAAGTAAGAAAAATCAGAAGAAAGCATTCAAAAAGTGACACAAACTGAAATAACAAGATAGAATGATAAAAATACATCCATGGATATCATTTATTATAACAAAGGTAGATGTATTGAGCTCACCACTTAAAATGGCAGGGCTGACAGATTGAATTTATTTTAAAATTTTTGATATATGCTATTTACAAAAAAATACTTAAAACATAAGGATATGCAAAGGCTGAAAGCAAAAAAAAAATGGAAGAGCAATATTGCATAAATATTAATCAAAAGAAAGGTGGCCTGACTTTAATTCCAGAAAAAAACATTATTTAAGTCAAGAGCATTATTAGGAACAGAGTGCCCTGTGACACAGCAGTTCTACTTCCAGGTATAAATCCAAGACAAAATCACATACATGTAGGGAGGCAGACAAACTCTAAAGGGCCCCCAACTATCTCAGCTTTCTGGTATTCATACCCTTGTGCAGCCCTCTCCCCATGACTGGGCAAGACTAGTGACTTGCTTCTAACCAAGAATATGGTAAAGGTTATGGGTGTCACTTCTATATCACACAGAGTGTAAGATTTGTTAAACTAGTAGACTCTCTCCCCCGCTGGCTTTGACAAAGCAGTTACCACTCTAGGGAGGCCCATGTGACAAGGAACTGAGGGTGACCTCTGGCAGACAGCCAGCAAAAGAATGAGGCCCTGGCCTGTCAATCTGAAAGGACCTGAATTCTGGCAACAATCACATGAGTTTGAAAGTGAGTTCTTTCCCAGTCAAGCCTTCAGATTACACATGGTCCTGCACTGCAGTTTTGTGAAGCAGAGGACCCTACTGACATGTGCCCAGACTCTTGATTCACAGAAACCATGAGATAACAAATGTGTGTTATGGGGTGGTGCCTGTGGCTCAAAGGAGTAGGGCACCAGCACCATATGCCAGAGGTGGTGAGTTCAAACCCAGCTCTGGCCAAAAACTGCAAAAAAAAAAAAAAAAAAAAGTGTGTTATGTTAAATCACTAAGTTTTGGGTTATACTGTGACACATAAATCAATACCTAATAGAACAAGACACACTTACAATAATGTCAGTAGTAAAGCAAAACAATAATAGTATCCTAGAAACAACAAAATGCTCATACATAGGAGGGGGGATGAATAAACTATGTCAC